TCTGCCTTTGTGTTTTATGATTGATCATACTTTAGGTTGCAGCAAAATCCAGAACTCCTTAAACATCTAATTGAAGGACTGAATTGCACTTTTGAGGTATGTATCTCCATGCCTCATGTAGCTCTTGGGGTGAATTTGTAAGCCCTGTACATGCCCTCATTGGGGCTGACCCACTATAGCCTGGTTTATGCAAGTGGAAGATTTCTGGTGAGCTGTAGTTAGCCAGTTAAGACAGTTGATTCTCTTTTTCAACCATTAAAAAAAAAAAAAAGAAAAAAAGAAGACAGTAATGAATGATGAAAAGTGGAAAGAGGAAAAGATTGTTAAGAAAATACATTCTACTGGTGTTGTCTGAGTTAAGACCAACAACTGCCAAACTGGGATTTTTAATGAGCAAGCCCTTAAGACAGGAAAATATTTGAAAAATGATGATGATGTACACAATCTTGGGTGATCGGTGCTTTTAGCTGCCTAATCATTCCTATTTMCTGAATATAGCCATATTGCCAGCTGCCGTGTTTCCAGGATGTGATATGGAAAAAAGATGTCCCCCTGTGGCTTGCTCTAGCTGCAATCAGGTTGACTGCAGCAGACACAGGAGCTGCTGAAGATCAGTGCTTCTCAGTGGGACGTTCTTGTGCCTCCAGCTTATTTCTGGCTGCCAGTGTAGCTGCCTCCTTGAAGTGCTTTTTTTCCTGTATAAAATAACAAACCCAAGGTAATTCCCAGTTCATCTTCACAGTAAGGAAGCATATAATACATCATAGAGTATTCAGGGAGACGTATTCCTTGTGAGTTTATTCCTGGATAAATAATGATTGCAAAGATTGGTATTTGCAGTACTGAAAGCTTTGTCCCTCCCTCCTCACCTTTTTTTTTTTCTTTTACTTGTATTTTTTTTAACATTTCCTTGTTTATGTCTTTTGGTGTTGTGATAATGCTGAAAATGCTGCCCATAATAGCTGTTTTACAGTAACAGCATCTCCACTGAAAATCTCAATTTTAAATGTTTACATAACTTAGAAAGTAATATATAGGGTAGAATTGTTTATAGAGTAGAAGTTATCTATGAAATCAAGAAAATTAATTTATTTTTAATGCRTTTAAAAAAATCAGCAGACCATTTTCAGGTACTGAGGAGTAAAAATTAATGAAATAGATGATTATTTGTGTTTTAGCCTGTCATTTTATGAAGTACTCTAGTAATATCATGCAGTTCTTGCTCTGTTTTATTTCTGTGTATTGCAAATGCTTAGGGTTCTGCTGCTGGATTTGGGTAGCTTGTGTTTCAATCACTTTAATATTTCAGGACAAGCCCAAATGAGGTAACTTGTGAAATTCAGGCCTACAGTGCCTGGTTAGTCATACCTGGTAGAGCAAACAAGAAGTGCAAAGATTTGAAACACCGCGTGTAACTACCTTTGTTTCCTTTAGCCTTTAACTTCCCCCAAATTCAGATAACTAATGAATTGCTGCTGGTAAGATCAGCCACTCTACTAGTGCTATTTTGGAAGCTATAGTTAGCTCGGCTTCGGGTCACCAGATGTGCTGCTGTTTATTGGGCTTCAGCTTCTGCTCGGGGGTTATTGGGCCCTACTTAACCTCCCTGCTAGGTTTCAGCTGCAGTTTTTCTTTGTTAACCTGATGAACAACACCAGTTTTACTGTGGTGATTGACATCAGTCAGGAAGATCTCCCCTTGCTAAAGAAGTCATCCTTTTAGGTAAAGCTGGTGGGGAGACTTTGCACGCAGTTCCTTGTATGCACTTTATGCACTTAACTGGGGTAGGGATGTCAGTCCCTTGYGTGTTTAACAAGTGTTTGGTTTTAGAGCTTGTTTGCTACCTGTGTAGAGGGCTTGGGCTTCATTCTTCCAATAGGCAGACTGTTAAAAATAAACAGCCTTCCTGCTACAGGGAAGAAAAAATGCTTGTGCTTGCTGACATTTGAAAACTTCCAAGTTTCCTTTTCTATGGAACTTGATCCCTACTGTGAAGGGCTGAGCCAAAGCTAACTTGCTCCATTTTGCAGGTGATAGGTCTTTCAGGGAATAACGTCCCTCACTTCCTTGCTCTGTTGCAAGGCATGGTGCCCTCCTCCTAGAGGCTCCGTCTGAGAGTTTGTTTATGATTTAATTAACAGATTCAGGACAGCAGTGGGAAAGAACAACTCCAGTTGGACTGGACCCAAGGGACTGTATCATCTTGCTTCTTTTTGATCCTATATGCAGCAGGCCTTGTCTGAAGGCTCAAATAGATCTGTGTATTACAGCTCACTTCCAGTTCTCCTTTTTGGCAGTTTGAAATGAAATGAATCTCAAATGATAATTTTGCTATTTTTCTACATTCTTATACAAATACTTGTTATTGAATATGTATATTACTTGATTAAGCTGYAGGTATCCTTTCGTGGCTGCTGAACATGCAATATTTTTCTCTCGATAAGTTTGAAGTTGCTGAGAACAGTTTGCTTCTGTCAAACTCTACAGAAAAAAAGCCACCTAGTCAATTAACTTGATTGATCCTTTGTTAAAATTGGCAGCTCCATCTGAGTTATCTCCTTCCACTAACTATTCTCTTGACTGTCTACCTACCTAACTTGAACTGACTCCTGCTTTGGAGATGGRGAAAACGGGAATTGTAGGGTCCTGGTGAATACTGTAAGGAAAAYAAAACAAAATGATGTTAACAAAAGATGAAATAGCCTATTAGAAATAAGCTGCCCTGGCAACTGAACATTTTCATGGTGTATTTTCACTTTTCTCCAAGCACCCAGAAAGGTTGGGATTTTTGAGTACCTGCAGGACATGCGCACAGCATGGATGTTACCACTGGGACTCTTTGAGCAGCCTTCTTTCCATGAGGAAGAGACTTGTCCAGTCAGTCAATAAAGCTGCTAAACTTTTTATAGGAGCTTGGAAGGTCAATTGACTCTCCTGCAAAGAGAGTTTCTGTCCTTTGCTGAAGGAAGGGGCCCATATGGACTCCACAGAAAGGGAGAATCAAGCCATGTATGTTAGAATTTCAGTAGAAGTGGCTCTTGCAATACCAAAGAGTTTGCAGCTCATAAAAGGGTGATTTGCTTGAGGTGGTGATTCACTACCCTGCATCTGGAAGGAGCAAAAAATATGGAGGTCTGTCTGGGATGTCAGGACACTAAGAGGGTTTTGTTAAAGCTGGGCAAAGTATGTAGTCCTTCTTTTTCTTTCTTGTCAGGCTCAGGTATGATGATAGCACTATTATTAGCCCCTTCTAGACCGAAGAGGCAGTAGCTCTTAAATCTGATTTAATYCAGTTTTGGTGAATTACGTAGGTGCCTTTACCTCTGAGATGAGGCTTGCTTGTTGCACAGCTAGGCCTCTCTGGGACTAGATATTTTGTGCCTGAGTGAAATAATGATACTCCTAAGGAAGAAGTTCACAAGAAGAACTAACTCCATGGCTTGGCTCAAGTTTGGTAGTTTGGCTGTGGTGTTGAGCCTCGAGTTCTTACAGAATAACTCCGTTAGGTATAAGCGGCTGCAGAGTAGGTTGAACAGCTTTAATCTTAATGTGATATCCATTATTTCCACACTGTTAGAATGAGTCTTATAGTGTCAGTAATCTCTGAATGAGATCATTTTGTAAAACTTTATAAAATAATGTAATGAGCTCTGTATTTCTAATTGCATTCTTCAGACTCACCATTTCCAAGTTAGGATAAAGAAATACACCTCCTTTAGGCTGAAACATGCTCGTTAGCAAAGTGGTGTGTTAACCCAGCAAAATGAGTATCAGCATCTGGGTATGACTAATCCAGGATACAAAAAGGCAACTCCACCCTGTGTTTTTTTTTTTTTTTTTTTTTTTTTTTTTTCTTCTCTCCTCTTCATGCATTTTCCTGTTCCTTGGCATTTGTTCTGGTTAACGTGAGGAGCAATGGCAGGGTCCACTGCTCCTTGGGTTCCTCTGGTGCTCACAGGGAGGCTGGTCGCTCTGGACAGTTGCTGTGTTGTCCTTCGGTCAAGGGAAATCATAAATCTGAACTCCTGGTACTGATAGACAATTTTTACATTTCAGTAGTGCTTACAGTACAGTGTGTTTTTCGCTGAAAAACATTGAAGTCATGTAATTCCTTTAGACATAAATTCATGTGCAAACATTTTATAAAAGGATTTAGGTCTCTCTGTAGTAGCTTGCTGGAAGAGCCAGCCGTAAAACAGTTTTTGCTACTTAAACTCAAAGCATCAAGCTGTAAATACAAGTTAAGGTGTAGATCTTGTGAACAGCTGTAGAACAGTTCATTACTTACATTTCAAAAATACTGTATTTTTGACATGAAACAGCATTTTACCTCTTAGTAAACAAAACTTTTTTTTTATAATTACAGAGTAATTGTGTAAGAGAGTAATTCTGTACAGAGTAATTATGGAGTAGGAGGCACTTCGAGTGTTTAGTTTCTAATTTGTTAATACTTTTATTAAGGTATTTTTTATGTATTTTGGAGTACGAAATGYTCAGTTAAAATGCGTAATTCACAGGTTTGTGTATTGTTCCATGACTCCTAGTGGAAAGTGATATTTTGATAATGATACATAGGAGGTTAGGAATGTACTGTAATGGAATTATAGTTATCAGACAGGTTCACCTGGTGGTTTGAATCTGTTGGATAACTAACTCCATTGCAGGTGTCAGTAAGCTATGAAAGACAGTGCCTATCATGGATAAAACTGGAATTTATATAGGAAATTATTTGGCTGCACATGTAAGAAAGCTTTATCATAGTGATTTCTACTCATTTAAAGAAAATACCAAAATTATTTCTGTGGTTGTGCTGCTAGGCTATATGTATGAGTTCTGTTTGTTGGCGCCTGCGTGCAATTGTATTCAAGTTATATTCTCTCAAGTTTGCCATAGCTTGGGGTCCTTGAATCAGAAGATTGTAAAGAACACACAAAACCTTGCTCTCAGGGAAATGGTGAAACAATTCTGAATTTCTCTTTTTTTGCTTTCTTGAATTTTAGATTTATCCATAGCAGTGCAAAAATTCTCACAGTCCCTGCAAGATTTCCAGTTTGAGTGCATTGGAGACGCTGAAACCGATGATGAAATTAACATTGGTGAGTATCTGCTCTGCACTTCTCGCAGAGTCATGTTTTATATTGTTTCTTATAAATTTGTGAAAACTATTTTGATGGGGCAGTTAATGGTTTCAACTTTAATGCAACATATAACAAATGCTAAAAGCTTTCAATAGTTGGAGACCACTTTGGACTTTAAAAATACATGATGGAATATTGTGTCCTCGTGACTTGGCTCGGTTCATGGTAGTTCAAAATAATGTTGAGTCAACTGCAAGGGCTCTGAATTCTGCTACWATTTTTGAGTTGCTGACAGATTTCTTTGGGGTGCAAGTTTCCTGTGAAATAACCTGCGAAAGAAAGGAAAGAAAAAAGTGACATAGAGGAAGTATTTAGCAGGAATGCTTTCTTTACAACTAGTGAGGAGTCGAGAAGCAGGAATGTTTTCTTTACAACCAGTGCATTCCTAAGTGTGTAGTTGTTTGATTTGGGGCCAGTAAATTCACTAGCTGCTTAATGTTCCTCTTTTTTTTTAAATTTATTTTTATGCGTACTGAGAACTGCATTTGCAAAACTGAACATGTCTTGAACAGCATGTCTTGGACCTTGCTCTCCTGTAATACCCTTAAAATATTCCATGCCGAGCACATCTAATTCCGGAAGCATATCCTGAGTATGCCTTGTTCCGGTTGGTGGGTATTTGTGCCTGACAAAATTCAGGAATTCTGCTAGTTTTTACTCCAAAGCCTTGTGGCAAGAGGAAGCAGTTGCAGCGATGCTTTCCGGCACCTGCACAGCTGTGGGACCATTTCAGCCCCCTCTCAWAAGAGACCTGGCTTCTCACCTGTCTTCAGACTGAGGCTCTCCAATACCCAAAATACCTGGGAGGAAGAAAGGTTCTTCGTTAGTCTTCATTAAACAGTAATTATTTCTGAAAATAACTAATTTGACAGTACAGAGGACATGAAATACATAGGATATGACTTTTTTTTTTATGTAGTCTTTGAGAGGAAAGAGGATTTGGGCTTTTCCAAGCTGCTCTCTTGTGTAAAGCATTTTAAATCTTCTCTCCCTTCAGTATTTCCCTTCTTGTGGTTGAATTACCTAATCATTGAGTAAGAGATCTAAGCTGCTTTCTTTGGCAGCCAAGGTGAAGATTGCCTAATCCTCACTTTATTAAAATACGATAGTTAGGAATGTCCTTGGGTATGCCTGGAGATCTTCTGGATCAGTGTCTTCCATTAAGTTTGTTTGGGGGGAAAGGGAGGGCAGGAGGAGAGGAACCAAGTGTTTTTCCTCCCTCCAAACTGCCAGTGATGAACATAAATCCATGGGAGATGATGTTTCAGATATGTTCCCATGATGAAAGCTTTGCTGGATCCYAGCCTGCCAGATTTCACTTCCATGATAAAGGAAGTCATTTGCCTCCCGTTGTATGTTTGCTTACATTTGTAGTTTGAAGATACAGCTTACTTGTCCGAAGCCAGATGCTGAAAAGCTAGAGACTGTCATACTGTTCTCTAGCACTTGATTCCATTGTAACTTTTATCCTACATCCTTAAAACTTTCCTCGTTTTGCAGGAATGCTCTTTTCCTCCAAGCTTTTTTTTTTTTTTTTTTAAATGGTGACCCAATTTATTAACTGTGACATTCATTCTGTTCTGCAAAGCGTGACTTATTTTTTTCAAACTACAGCTCCTTCACCGAACCAAAAATGCGTAGCATTACAGCTATTGCAGAATTTGTGTACTGAACCTCATGGCAGCACTTAGGAAAGAATACTTGCATATTAATAAATGTTAGGTAAGATCCCAGGTGACACAGTGACATTAATTTAATAGTTTTCTGAAATAAATCCGGGTTTGCTAAACAAGTAAAGGTCATGTGAACTGAAGTGAGACTTCTTTGTGTGTGTTAATAGATCAATAGAGAACTGAGCCAACTGATACCTGGCAGAACTTTAAAAATTAATTTGGGAAATGTCTCCTAATGAACAACAAAGAACTGGAAAGGAATAGTGAGTTTTAGGATGAGAGGACACTGATTCTTGATTCCTCTATTTATCTATTTATTTTTAATAAGTCAAATCTTTAATCAGCTAATGAGGTAAATCAGTAATAGAAAAACTACTGAGATCATGAAATGGGAAAATGCTTTAAAAACTCTTACAGAGCATGCCAATCGTAAGTCTGCTGATGTTTAGAGGTTGTGTATTTAGACTAATTGGCAGGTGAATTGATTAATGTTTAGGAACTGATGTCATTGAAATTAAGCAGAAGGAGCAATTGAAATCCTTGCAACCTTGAGCCTCTGTGCAATTCCTGAACTGTCACAACTTGGAAGTTTTATTTTTTTWATATTCATTTACTTGGCTTATTGTTAAGATTACAGTTTGAAAATTGTAAACATGGTTTTCTAGTTAACAACTGCAATAGAGAAGTTACCTATTTCATACAAACTAGTTTTTCAATAGTGACATGTAATGATACCATCGTATTTTAGAAAGCTACTGAGGAAATATGAGGGATACACTCTGAGGAAGTCAGTTTTTGGATATGAATTTTATTCCTCTGTACATTTTTAAACTTTTAAAATGTAGAAATGCATTCTTGTCCAAGGCCGGAAAGTACTATATTATAATTTAGTGTGTGCAGCACTTCTTTGCTCTTTTCTGTGATTTATTGCTAAGTACTTATATATTACAAGTAAGTCATGTGTATGTCTTTTTTGACATTCTGCATATTTCTTCTCTAGTATTGTCCAGTAGATTTATTTTGCATATATTTTGTATTTCTGCTAAATCAGATCTATATCAATGTCGAAGTTGTGTCTTCTTCTTGAATTTGGTCAGTAAGTATGTTTTAAAAACCAAGGGATTTCTAATTTAAGGTGATTAAGGACAATCGGGACTTTCATTTTACTTGGAACTTCAATGTAGAAAAGACRAGGCATTTTATTGCTTAGACATTAAACAGGCATTTAAAACTATTTAGGAAAAAACAGTTCATGAAGCTTGACAGCTGATTAATTGCACTTGGAGCTTCAAAGAAGGGATTTGTTGTAGCATCTGAAGAAATCATTGCCTGGTGGATTGTCACGTGTATCAAAGCAGCTTATAAGAGGAAAAGGTAAACTGACAGGAATCAAATCCAAGTCTAACAGAAGTGAAATGATACTATGTACTCTTATAGGATAAGGCTCAATTTTTGGTCTCCCTAAGGCAATGAGCTAGAATTTGTCCATATCTTTACATCCACAACAGACTAGATGTTTGGTCATCATCAAAGACAGCCTTGTACAGGTGAATCCTGCTCTTGGGCCTCTTTCTGCCTTCCTCACTTTTTCTAAGAAAATTCATTTGTCATCTCTATGATTGTGCGGCCCAGTGGGAAGTTTTACAACAGTTTCCAGGGATGCTCTGATATGTTTTGTACATAAACACTTAATATGGTGGGGCTTAATGTACTGACTATGTTCCAAAGATTATAAAATATTTCTATTACAGGCTTAGTGTTGGAAACCCACCCTAGTATGACCTTTTGAACAAAGCTGCTTCTGTCAGAATTTCATCRTTCTACAGACAGTATGAATGCCTGGACTTAAATAACACAAATAGATATTACCAAGTTACCAAGCCAGAAGTTACTGGAGTTTATTTCAGTCTTAAATCTGTGATTCTAGACACTGTGACCTTGGTGGGGGTTAAGAAGGGATTTGTTAATGTATATCTGTTTTGCTTTATTGCACAGCTTCACCTTTTATCAGGAAAAAAATGCACCCTTTTTAAAGAGATTGAAAATAAAATGTAAAGTATTATTGGGAAAATACTGTATATACAGCATCTGAAAATTTTCCTGAAAGTTGTAGTTTTGAGTTCAGCCAGGAATGTTGCCTTAAACAAAAAAGAACATGCCTCCATTTTGAAAAGAAAAAAATTGCTCATTTAGAAGAATTTATTTTTTAGAGAGTTTTGTTTTGTTTYGAAGGAAATACCAGATTTGACTACTAAAAGCAACATTTTTTTTTGCTCTTTTTGTCAAGCTGAGCTATTATAATAGCGTTCAGTTTAATATGTATTTCCTGCAACTTGTGCATTTTTAGATACTCTCTTTATATAGGTCATCAGTTCCAATACACAAATCATACATCACTTTTTTTAAAGCTTCATAACAAACTTTGCATACACAGAATTACAGTAGCATTCTTAGTATTTGCACAAATCCATCTAGTATTTAATTTATTGGATTAATTGTTTTCTGTTTCCTTCTTTCATTACTTTTTTATGATTTCTTTTTTTATAAGTGTTTTTACTATAGATGATCTTTCCAGAAGAAAAATATCTATGTATTTGTGACTGTAGAATGCCTTCTTATATTCTTTCTACATTGTTGCAGATAATAAAGATGTATATAATTTATAAATTTATACAAATTTTTACAAATAAATTTATACAAACTTTATAAAAAGTTTGAAACTTTAGAAAAGGTTTGAAATGTACTGCATTCATTTCAGACTTGGGCGTTTGTGCACAGTTTGTAACATACTCTGTCTTGGATATGGAGGCTGACATTCCTCAGATCAAATACAACATGTTTTTTTCCAGAATTTTGAACATCAAAGGATTCTTACTGAACCCTTTTCAGATCTGCCAACAAACTGGGTTTAAGGCAGAGTGCCTTCCAGCTTCACTAGCTTTTTTTTTTCATCAAAAACTACACGCTTACTGACAATTGTCAGTGTTGTCTCTTCCCCAGTTTTGCAGCGTGTGGGGCAGCATGTGACCTGCAGTCTTGCTAGAGCTGTAATAGTGCTAATTGGTATGAGAACATGGATATTAGGGACATGTGACTCAACTGAGCTGTAATTTTTTGTGCATTTGAAAAGTTATGCAGAAAGTGACATCTGTGAAACAACGACACGATGAATGATTGTGATTAGTGCAACAGAAAAAAAAAGACATTATAGCAAAGACTGTTTTATCCTCTTCTGCATGTGTTTTCTGAGTTGTGGACGATGCAGATGAAATAATGTATTAAATA